TAATACCAACTGCAGGAAGAAAGATTGCATGATTGTTAGCAAAAGCATGACTCCAAATTTCGAATTGCAAATCAAAGATACCAAAATCAATCGAGAACGGAAATTAAAATATCAGGAACAATAAAATACTTGTCGGCATTAATGCCAACAAGTTTTTTTATCGCAAGAAAATTTTTTTTTCAAAAAAATAAAATAATTTATTGCTGGTAATTTTTTTTTTCTTTTAAATAATAATATTGAGGTTGATATGCGGTAAAACAAATCAAACAGCGAAAAACAAAGGTTCTCTCAGATGATTAATAGAGATCAGTTTCGGAGGCATTTAAAAATAAAAAGCCATTCATTGCCCCAGCTAACAACAGACTGTAGATCATTTTTGACGTCAGCTGCCAACTTGACCATGGTTAATGAATGTAACATTACCAAATCTTATATACATTACCTATGAACACTTATGGGTATGTCCCAATCTTCATAAACACGTTGAGCACTATTGTGAGGCTAATATACTAAGCAGTCCACCAGTAGCAGTGGTTTACCTACTTCACGCTGCTGGCGAGTATTGTATTTTGTTGATGTTATAAAGATTACCATTTCAATTCCAACCTCCGTTTTGGTTATTCCTCATTCAGTGATCCTTTCTAGGTTACAACAGATAGCGAAATAGATTATAAAGCGACTGAGATAGATATATAGATAGATAGATAGATAGATAGATAGATAGATAGATAGATAGTGTTATATACATTACCTGTTAACACTAATGGGTATGTCTCAATCCTAATAAATACGTTGGATGCTATTGTAAGTGGGTGTAATATGCTATCTAAGTAGTGCCCCACTAGCAGTGGTTTACCTACTTCATGCCGCTGGCGAGTATTGTATTTTGTTGATGCTATGAAGATTATCATTTCATTTGGTTATTCCTCTTTCAGTAAACTTTTCTAGGTTACATCAAATGTACTAGAGTTTGATGGATCGAGTCCATTGCTCGGGCCGAATAAATATTTGGAAACTTCTTTAGCGCAGGCTGAATGATTGTTTTAATGGGGAAATCGAGAAACGAATTATGTTTCAAAGAGGCACCTGCCTACAAAACTGTTATATGTGTAATCCTATCAAACATGATATCAATTTAGACTTTATTGTATATTCGTATTCTCATTAATTTTGAAAGATGAGAAGAAATATAACCATATTGAATATGACGAAAATTACACACATATATATGCATATCTTATATATAATGTATATTTGGGTAGCAAACTTTCTTTTAAACATGTTCAGTTGAATATGACAGACAAGGAAATTTGATATATATATATATATATATATATATATATATATATATATATATATATATATATATATTAATCTAACCATGGTTACATCTTTCCGTTTGGTTGGAATATGGGAGGCAATAATTGTCCCTATTTTTCATTGTCCACACCGCTTTTGGCCATTTCTTTATTCATTTTCAAGCGAGGGCCGTTTCTTTTTTTTACGTGGAGTAATGGATAGCGGCTGGGATTGTGGAATTGGAGAGCCGAGTTCGAATTCCAGTCGGATCACTTACATTCACTTACGGGCTAATACTCTTGGTAAAGGTATGAATCCTTTTCTTTTCCCTCTAACTATGGGTAAATAGCAGGACAGACCAGGTTCTATAGCCTTGGATGGCAACTGGTCTACTGCAGAAAGAAATGGCAACCTACTGCGTAAAAAATCTGCCTCGTCAGTAATGTATCGAAAGATACATGATCGCCTAAGCGTGTATCACGCATGGCACATAACTCAATGATATTCACTTACATGCTAATACCCATGGGAAAGATATGAATCCTTTTCTTCTCCCCCAGCTATGGGTATATAGAAGAACAGATTGGGTTCTATAGCCTTGGATGGCAACTGGTCTACCGCAGAAAGAAATGGCAACCTACTGCGGAAAAAATGTGCCTCGTCAGTCATGTATCGAAAGATACATGATAGCCTAAGTGTGTATCACACCTGGCACATAACTGACTGAATTATTTTCTCATTTTCGTTATTTTTATATTGAGTTAAAAAAAATAATTATAGACGCTAGACTGATTTTTCTTCTTTCGACTGTTTGTGTGTGTGTGTGTGTGTGTGTGCATGCGTCCGTGTGTGTGTGTGCTTGCGTACGCGTCTGTATGTGTGTGTGTGTGTGTCTACGCTTGTACCTGTGTGTATGTGCACATGTGTAGAATGACGTGTTTATTTCTCCTTTTCATGATTTTCTTGTCTCCGTATACTCTCTCCCTATTAACTCACTAGTCAATCGTCATTGTAAGTCAGGCTTGTTAACCATTACAGTGTCACTAGGAAGGAATGTGACATAGGATTAAGAAAAGGGTTCATGTTAGAACCCCGGATAGAATTAAAGCTTTAGAAGGGCTGCAATGTGGAAATTATTGAAGTTAAAAGATTGCGATATGACGTCTCCAGACAGTCTCCTTGTTTAAGTTGGTGAATGGTGCCATAATCTTTGCCTTTATTTCATCTTTGGTGTTACAAGGAATTTTGATGGTCTCTCACTCAACTGCACTCCATACATAATAATCAAGGGGGTTACAGTCTGGGGAGTTAGGTGATCAGATTGTAAGGGGTGATGTAGTCACAGAAATTGCCTGACATCCATTACTGAGTTCTCCTGTTTGTTTAGCATGATGCAGAATCATGTTGCCGCACATAGGGTCTTCTAGCGGTCACCCTCTTGATCCAGGACAGCACTACCCCCTCAAGACACTTGTTGTGGGTCTCTGTATTGAGTCCGAGGCCCTCACTAACACTTCCTCGTTCATATCCGCTTTCTACCTCTTCCTCTCCCACGTTTCTTTTTTCATATTAAACCGCTTTTTATTATGTTTCCTCAGTCAGAAAGTGTAATTGATTCCACCACAGATGTTTCTGGCCGAGTACCAGACACTCTGGAAAACCCACTTTCTCATGACAACCAGACCTGCTACAGGAACACTAAAATTAAATAATAGTAATTTACCCACATGACTTAACTGAAACGGAGACAATAATCCATACTTGTTATAAAGGGTGTTTCATTAAGACGGATCAAAGTCAGCAGCAAACAAGTCAGTGTTATTTATTTCTCTATTGGATCATGCTATTTAAGTCATGGCAAATATGAGCGAAAAATAATATCGCCCGAATGTGTGGTATGGTGCAGAATCCTCTTGCTAGAAGTAGGGTCTTCTAGCAGCCACTCTCATGACCTAGGGCAGCACTGTTTTCTCAACGTACTTGATATAGGCCTTTGTGTTGAGGCTGAGGCCCTGTGGGAAGGTGAATGATGCATAACGTCACCATCATTAGTGATCACTCCAAACACCTTTGTAATCACCATTAGACTCTTCCAAATCTTTCCGAATCCTCTGCATTGCTCTAAGATTGACACCGAAACACTCTGAAAAATTCGTACTGAAGCTTCGGGTGCGAATGCCAAGCAGTACAGCATTTTTTTCCAAATTTCTGGCGGAGTGAATTGAGTCCTGGTGCTCATTTTCTCACAGACGTTGCCCAACTGACCCTACTATACTGTGCCATACGTGATACACGCTTGGGCGATCATGGATATCTCGATACATGACTGAGGAGGCAGATTTTTTCCCGTAGTAGGTTGCCATTTCTTTCTGCGGTAGACTGGTCTGGCCTACTATTCAACCCATATCTGGAGGAGAAGAAATGGATTCATACCTTTCCCAAAAGTATTTGTGTGTAAGTGAATCTGACGAACTCGGCTGGAATTCGAACCCTGCTCTCCGAGTTCTCACTCCGAGCCGATCTTCATTACACACAACGCATATCCAGATGGGTTAGCAGAGTAAATAGCCACCACACTCATTACACGTTAGATCAAATTCATCGTCATCACTTATTCAGTTTAGTGCATTTTGTGCCGCTGTGGTCACCACTCTCCCATTATTTCTGTTATAATTATGGTTCATAGTGATATTCAAGGCAAAATAGTGCAATGACTTGACGGGTCTTTTTGCAGAGATATTGAGGTTACCCTGTTCTTCCTGTCCGAAGATCATCCACCCACTGATAAAGCCGTTGTCCTCTGAGGCGCAACTCCTACGCCCAGGCTGGCGACTGGCCTATGGCCGCTTGGTACAAGTCGGTTGGGGAGAGATGTTCCCCTTCATTGGGCCGGGAAACGCTTCCGACTACCCTCACACAGTTTAGCTAGCAGGTCCATGCCGTTGACCAGGGTGTGGCCGTTGCAGTACCCATGCGACTTGTAACTATCAGTTGGAGGTGGATGAGCTGAATCCAGACAGCTGGCTCACGACGTGTGACACGAGGTCCCCAAACGATCTCCCTCGGGTTTTGAATTCAGTGTTGTCCTTCTTCTAGATCGGTTGCCACTCAAGGTTTATACGACACAGTCTGTCCTGTTATTTATCCATAACTGGGGGTGTGGGGAGAGAGATGGCTTCGTACCTTTCACAAGGGTATTATTACGGAAGTGAATGCAATGAACTCGACTTGAATTCGAACTCGGCTCTCCGATACCTCAATCCGAGTCACTATTACTGTATTTGCTTAGCTTGATGACACTGTACCACAGAGTATGTCGATGTTGTTTGTCTGAAACTTTATTTATTGTCAGTCGGATCCGCTTGTGGTCAGAAGAGACCAAAAAAAAAAAAAAAATTGGAAAGCAGTTTTTTTTTTCGTTTTTCACTCTGCAAATAAATAGTGCAGTTACCGAGTGAACTGTGTGTAGTCCGATTTTGAAGCGGCGGGAAGTAGAGGTTGTGAGTCTGGTTGGCGAGGGTAACGGTAGCAGCAGCAGCAGCAGCTGCCGCCATGGCACCACTGGTATCTGCACTTTGATTAGAAAGGCAACAATGAAAAAAAATAAAAAAGACAAAACGAAAAGGTATAAAAAACTAAACATTGTTCATTGTTATTACGCCACTTAGTTTTTGCTTTTGCATTTTTTTAAGTTTGACTTGATGAGTTTTCTTTCTTTCTTTCTTTCTTTCTTTCGTGTTTGTCTTTCTGTATTTCATGTATGTCTTTCCTTCAATCTTTCGTGAGTCACTTTCGTGTCTTTCATTCGTGTCTTTTTTTCTTTCTTTCTTTCTTTCTTTCTTTCTTTCTTTCTTTCGTGTTTGTCTTTCGTGTTTGTCTTTCTTTCTTTCTTTCTTTCTTTCTTTCTTTCTTTCTTTCGTGTCCGTCTTTCTATATTTCAGTATGTCAATCCTTCAATCTTTCGGGAGTCACTTTCGTGTCTTTCATTCGTGTCTTTCTTTCGTGTCTTTCTTTCTTTCTTTCTTTCTTTCTTTCTTTCGTGTTTGTCTTTCTGTATTTCATGTATGTCTTTCCTTCAATCTTTCGTGAGTCACTTTCGTGTCTTTCATTCGTGTCTTTTTTTCTTTCTTTCTTTCTTTCTTTCTTTCTTTCGTGTTTGTCTTTCGTGTTTGTCTTTCTTTCTTTCGTTCTTTCTTTCTTTCTTTCTTTCTTTCTTTCGTGTCCGTCTTTCTATATTTCAGTATGTCTATCCTTCAATCTTTCGGGAGTCACTTTCGTGTCTTTCATTCGTGTCTTTCTTTCGTGTCTTTCTTTCTTTCTTTCTTTCTTTCTTTTTTTCTTTCTTTCGTGTTTGTCTTTCTGTATTTCATGTATGTCTTTCCTTCAATCTTTCGTGAGTCACTTTCGTGTCTTTCATTCGTGTCTTTTTTTCTTTCGTGTCTTTCTTTCTTTCGTGTCTTTCTTTCTTTCTTTCTTTCTTTCTTTCTTTCTTTCTTTCGTGTTTGTCTTTCGTGTTTGTCTTACTTTCTTTCTTTCTTTCTTTCTTTCTTTCTTTCTTTCGTGTCCGTCTTTCTATATTTCAGTATGTCTTTCCTTCTATCTTTCGTGTCTTTCATTCGTGTCTTTCTTTCATGTCCGCCTTTCTTTCTTTCGTGTCTTTCTTGTATTTCTTTCTTTCGTGTTTTTCTTTCGTGTCTTTCTTTCTTTCTTTCTTTCTTTCTTTCTTTTCTTTCTTTCTTGCTTGCTTTCGTGTCTGTCTTTCTGTATTTCATCTATGTCTTTCCTTCTATCTTTCGTGTCTCACTTTCGTGTCTTTCATTCGTGTCTTTCTTTCATGTCCGCCTTTCTTTCTTGCGTGTTTTTCTTTCTTTCTTTCTTTCTTTCTTTCTTTCTTTCTTTTTTGCTTCTTTCTCTCATGTTTTTCATTCTTTCTTTCTTTCTTTCTTTCTTTCTTTCTTTCTTGTCTTTCATTCTTTTTTGCTTCTTTCTCTCATGTTTTTCATTCATTCTTTCTTTCTTTTCTTTCTTTTTTCTTTCTTTCTTTCTTTCTTTCTTTCTTTCTTTCTTGTGTATTTCTTCTTTCGTATCTTTCTTTTTTCTCTCTTTCTTGTTTGTCTCTCTTTCTGATATTTTTGGAAAAATTTAAATAATAATAATAAAGTGCAGTTAACACAACATCGGCTCTCAAGAACTTTTTTTAATGTGATGTTCCTCCAAAACTTTGCCACGAGTAAATCATAGCCCTCCACAGTTTCCTTTTATTTAGGTTTATTCTATCTAACCCATAGCTGGCGGTGGGAGGAAGAATAAACTGATTCATACTTTTACCAACTGCAAAAGACAACTGAGAGTGCAACGATCGAAACAGCTGGATTTATAGAAGGGTTCTCACTATTTTGATATCCGAGATATGTTCAATCTCTCTCTCTCTCTCTCTCTCTCTCTCTCTCTCTCTCTCTCTCTCTCTCTCTCTCTTAATGCTATGTCCCTTCAGGGAGTGGCGGGTATGGTAATTATGATTCTCCACGCTTTTCCTTTCTTTATTATCGATGAAATGTCGTGACATCAAGGGAAAGATTATAAAGTGATTTACCTATAATTTCTCCACCATTTTGAATTTAAAGTCCAAAATTTGATGCCCCCCAACGCTGAATATTCGGCCACTGAACCCATAGCTAGAGGAGGAAGTGATAGATTCACGTCTTTCCCAATGTTTAGGTCACCAACTGCAAAAGACACCTGAAAACAGCCAGAGTGTATAACGATCGAAACTGTGAGTCCCTTGTGTTCAATTATATTCTAATTTAGTTATACTATTCATATTCTGACTATTCTCCTCATCCTTGTTTTTGTTATCACAACGTTTCGACCTTTGTGGGCTCCGGCCTTCGTCAGCTGTATATGGATCTGGGTAACCTACAGGGAAATCTGATTTGAAACCTTTATTATTTACACAATTTATATTCGGACTATACTCCTCATCTTTATTTTTGTTATCACAACGTTTCGGCGTTGTTCACTCCAGCCTTCGTCATCTGTGTATCGATCTGGATAGCTTACAGGTAATTCTGTGGAAACGGACGATTAAATGAACAATACTAAAAATGAGATATCCCTAGACATGGGCAGTGGGACGAGAACAGTCTACCCCCCCACCACCACCACCACGTTGATTAAATAAAGGGATCAGAACAGATTAGTTGTCGGCGGTAGACTCTTCTCATTCTACTGCCTCCTTCTTGTTTTTAATACTGCTCAATTATTGCTCTCCCTTTTGTCACTGAGTCCAAGTACACACTGCCCGACCCAGGGATTGAACCCACAATTACTATATCACCGAATTCACGAACCAATGCTTTTATCCTCTAGGCTATTGTTCAATAGGACAATTCTTTTTCAACCTTACCTGCCTGATGATGAGTTCGGCTGCTGCTTGTTATGCTTGACTGCACTCACCGAAGCTTTTCTTACTTGTTATGGTTGCTGCTGTTGGAAAACTACTAGAGGCCATAATCAATTCTGAATTGGTTAAACATCTTACATCGCAGGTCCTTCTTTCAGACAAGCAATATGTCTAGGTCAACTGCTAATGTACTAACAATTATTGCTGAAAAAGTCTGTCAAGCTTCGCATAAGAATGGTGAAACTCGGACTGTTGCTTTGGATATCTCGAAAGCGTTTGATAGGGTTTAGCATACTGGTCTTCTTCCCAAGTTGAAAGGTTATGGTATTTCCGGATTTCTGGGCGAATTTTTCAACTGATTCAGTCTTTCTTGTCAAATCACGAAATGAAATCAACCCGGAACGGACACTTTTCTATATCTTTTTGTACTAATGCAGGTGTATCCAAGGGCTCTATACTTGAACCTACTTTTTACTTAATTTTTATCAATGATCATATTGACGAATCACACGTGCCCTTAATATTCCGTTGCGTTTCGACTTGATTGTGCTTCCTTCTTTTGTATTAATTCTGATGCATGCTATTGTCCATTAATAATTCCCCCCTTTTCCATGATAACGCCATCAGAATTAAAAAAAAAATTCCATCTCCTTGCCAACGGACGTTGTCTCCTTGAACTTGTTCGGGGTGGAGAGCCAGAACGTTCCGACAGTTTGCTTTAATTCTTTGATTCAGGCTCGCCAATAGCATCCAAGTACGGCAACACAGATGGAAGAAACGGAGTAGATGATTTTGGTTTCTTAGACATTGAATTTTATCACCTCATGTCCTCCATAAACTTCCCTGATTTTTCATTTAAACTTATGAATATTCATGAGCATTCCTATACCTATCAATTTTGAAAAAACAATAGCATTTTTGCTCTTGTGTATAAATACCCGTAAAAAAATAAAGTCCTTACATATGCCTTGATAAACTCCCTGAGAGGAGGAAACGCGTCGTCTAAGATAAGTTTTCTTTTATCTTTATTCGTATTTCCTTTTACAGATATACTCTATCTGAAGTTTTTACACTATCTATCTATCTATCTATCTATCTATCTATCTATCTATCTATCTATCGAATTTGTTGAAATATCTATACATACAGATATATAGATATATATATATATATATATATCGAACTCTGTTGAAATTATCGATATACATCAATTCAGATCCATCTATTGAACTCTATTCCAATATATATATATATATATATATATATTTGTGTGTGAGTGTGTATGTATGTATGATTAGCAACGTTTAATTACTGTTTTTGCTAACAAGACGCTAGCTCTGGACTCTAGAAGCTAACGGACGTTGTCTGCTTGGACTTCTGGGGAACCAAAGCGTTTCCACAATCTTTGATTCAGACTCGAAGTGGTGAAGCCGGGTTTCATCTTTGAGTTACTAATCTGCAGTAGAAATTCTCAGGATCAGTCTACAAGCGAGTCAGAATTATCCTGGAAATGTCAACCGTTTTCAACTACTGCTCTTGTGTCAGCATTCTTGGGACCCATCTTGCAGACATCTTGCTCATCCCCTTAAGATCACAGTTAAAACAGTATGGGCCAAACCAGAACTAATGTCTATGGACTTAGACCTCTTACTGTTCTGTGGGTAGCTATCATCAAAAACCATACGGTGAATGGTCTCAACAGTGGTTGGGGATTTTGGACGATCTGACCAAGAGTGCTCTCCTGTGCTGTTCCAGCTCCACCTGAATTCCGCAGCTCACCTCTTTACAATTGCAAAGGAAAGGGAACCTACAGGAAATCTCTCTACCATCTCCTCGGACGTTTCCTTGGGTGTCATACCTTTCTTTTGCAGATACTTTATGACGGATCGGGCCTCTGTTTTGTCCATTTTTAGATTTTTCACTCACCGCTCATATTTGTATGTCGTCCTGGGTAAGACGTTAAACTACATCCGCGTCTTGGGTAAGACGTTAAACTACGTCCAGCAGCAAGGCCTCTGATCAGGAGGTTTTGAGGAGCGTGGAACCACCTCTTAATTGCTGGTGTTCCCAGGTCCACCATGACCCAGGATGGCAGCACCTGTTAGGGTCCCAGCTATGGGCAAATAGTTAACTATTTGAAAAAAAAAATATTACCAGCAATACAATTTTGAAGGAAATATATTACCAGAAACAGATTTTTGACAAAACAAAATATTACCAGCAATAAATATTTTGTCACCATTGAATAACCCATTGAGGTTGTTATGCCGTAAAACAAAATAAACCAGACCAAACTAAAACTATATTTCTATCGGCCTTTCCAACAGAGAAAGTAAGACAGAAATCTGAATTTGCCAGACCAAAAATATTTAGCCATGGCACTTCTTTCTGAGTGAGGCTTAGAACTTTTTGAACAACCTTCGTATCTATCTATCTATCTATCTATCTATCTATCTATCTATCTATCTATTTCAGCCTGTTCCTTATCTATCTATCTATCTATCTATGTATGTATGTATGTATGTATGGCCGAGTGGTTAGTACGTTCGCATTCTGACCATGAGACCCAGGTTCGAATCTCACCATGGTCGATTTGTCAGGAAGGAAACTTCCTGATGGAATCGGACTGGAGGGTTCGATCCCAGCGTCCGGCACATTTGGAAAGTGCCTGAAAACTATACCAAGGGTTGACCCAAGCCTTGTGGGTGAAATTTGGGTAGACGAAACCCTTGGACGCCAGTCGACAGCTGTGCTAGCACGAAGTTACAAGTCATCGTGGTCGAGGGATTGAGCGTGCTGACCTTGTTCAAATTATTGATCACACTAGATAACACGCTCTTTTTCCAGAAACTGTAACTAAGGTCTGCTCATTATAGTTGCAGTATAAATCACAGGTGGGCTCTGTGGGTGTTGAATGAACACAAATTCGCCTGAGCAAGCGTCTGCAATAGGGATTGGCTAGCCGCCCTAGTAGACGGTCATCATCGAACATGAGTGGCCAGCTATACATATCTATCTATTTTATGCTGTTCATATCTATCTCATTCTGGTTCTATCTATCTATCTATCTATCTATCTATCTATTTAGCTATCTATCTAGCTATCTCAGTCTGCTCATATCTATCTATCTATCTATCTATCTATCTATCTCCGACTTTTCATATATGACTTGCCACTGTCTTTATATAAGGTTGTTTTAATTCATATCTACATTACTTCATGTATTATTACCAGATGCATGTTTTATTCGCATAAATAATAAATATTTGTTGTAATCTAAAGGTTTATTTGCTGAAAGAAGGCGACATCTACCTGCGCAGATGGAATGAAAAACGGTTAATTTTGCGCAGTTTTATACAAGTGACATAAAGAAGGAAATACGTGAGTTTGGCCATAAGGCAGGGATAAAGATGTATATATCAGATGTTCCATATATATATATATATAGTCTGAATATCGCACTGAAACGTGAAACTGGTAGTTACCTTGCAATTCTAATTCTCTGTGTAGATTTTCCCGTTTTCACTTTCGCATTTTATATATATGTTTTGTAAAAGGCTTCGATAACTTTAACACGTTGTTTGATTGTTAATCTTCCCACGGTTGAAATTGCTAAAGATAAAGTTTTTAAATATGAAAGAAAAAAAAAAAAAATCATCAGACGCTTAAAAATCACATTTAAAATCAGTCAAGTTATTGGAACACCTATCTATCTATCTATATATATATATATATATATATATATATATATATATATATATATATATATATCAGTCACTTATGTGCCATGCGTGATACACGCTTTCGATACATGACTGACGAGGCAGAATTTTTCCCGCAATAGGTTGCCATTTCTTTCTGCGGTAGACCAAGGCTATAGAACCCAGTCTGTCCTGGCGGGAGAATAAGAGAGGTCATAGCTTTCCCAAGGGTATTAGCTCATAAGTGAATGTAATTGATCCGACTGGAATTGAACTCGGCTCTCCGATTCCTAAATCCAAGCCACTATCCATTATTCCACACTGCCTCCATATATATATATATATATATATATATATATATATATATATATATATATATATATATATATATATATATATATATATATATATATATATATATAAAAGGTATTAATGTGGATAAATCAAATAACTAGATATTAGCTGCCGTATATACTTGCTTTAGCGTGCATACTTAATTTAATATAAGGTGTAAACAAAACAATTTGGATAGACAGAGCTAAGAAGTATATATTAAAACCTAGGTGTTTATATATATATATATATATATATATATATATATATATATATATATATTATTGTATATAATGTCTTAATAAATACACATTTTATCCTCACTAGTAGCACGAGTCGGAGTTCCATGCACAACGCAATCTTCAGGTGCTGTGTAGTGATACATAATAATTGTTATATTACATCGAGTACTATTTTATTAACACCAGCACTCAATGTGAGATATTTTATACACGCACACACACGCACGCACACACACACACACACACACACATATATATATATATATATATATATATAAAGGAAAGAGGTCCAGTACTTCCATCAAGAGAAAAGTGTGTATAATAAAAAGAAGAGAGGAATCACAAACGTTTTTGGTTGTAATGTGGATTTAAAAAAAAAATATATCATGCTTTATGTGCCATAATTTTACTACACGAGTTTCCGGTCTCGCGACCTTCATCAGGGAAAGCTTGTAAATTTCCACATATTATTAAAATAATTAATTTTTTTTCTTGTGTTTTTCGATGTTAAATATTCTCGAT